GTTTAAAAGATTGGGTTTTATTTGGGAGGACTGGCTGAGCAGCTCCTCAGGAAGCAAAACCTGCCTGTTGAAGCCACCAGGCTAGACAACCCACTTACAGTGCCTTTATTGATAGTCCAGGGCCAATGAAGTGAAACATCATTCTCCTGCATGCTGTAAAAGTTCATACTTTATATTTAACAGCACAGACATTTCTGTTTTGAAAATAATGAAAAGACTATATATAAAACTATGCCATAAGTTTCAGTTTGTTGTGTGTGACATTTAGGGCAGGCTCTCATCATCACAAATCCTTCAAAGTCAACCTAAAATACAAATGTTACTTTACTGTTCCCGAAATGAAATTACTTATAATTTGTGTCAAATGTAAGAAAGAAAGATGAGGGCCCAATCCTGCAGGCAAGCTGAGCTCATCCTTAATAGGAGCCATGGTCACTTCCAAGATTAAGAGCCTAGGACATGCATACAACACCAGTGAGGATAATCCACGTCTTATCCACATGATGTTTATTTTGCGGGGTGGAGTTCTGCTACCACCTCAAGTTTAAATGGCACAGAAAAGTTAGAAAAATAATTTCTTGTCATGCTTTATGGTTTGTTTGCTCTCTCTAGGTAGGGAATGTTCTTCAGAAACACTTCAGTGTCTTGAGTGCTCTTCTAAGGAGTGTTCTTTGGAAGCTTGTTTTCCTCCAAAATGAGTATTGGTCTCTTCAGTTATCTCTGTGGGGTGTCAGAATGCTGAACATGCACCAGATTCTTGCAAGAGAAGGACCATCAGGCTTCAAATAGACATCACCAAATTAAGTGAATCAGCTATGCCATGACGCGTCCCAACACAGGTGATCTGCTTCATTTTGTGAAACACGTGGCATCTGTTATCCTGCCTGTTGATGTTGTTGGACAATGGAAAACATGCTCCCCTGGGGCTTGAAGAGCCTGGTCTGATATGCCATGAGAATCCCTGCACAGGCTTCAGTCCCCTTGAGCCCTAGGAGCACCTGCCCAACTTTCCCCTCTTACAGAGACATGTTCCCAAGATCTCTGGATCACATAGCTGTAAATGAAAAGATTCAGAGTTTCCCTGCTTACAGAGATGTAAAACTGGGATTTCCAAGGTGTGTCTCCATAAACAAGGAAAATCAGGGATTTCCTGGGGACACATCTCTGTACATGGATAAACCCTGACATTCCCAACTTATAGAGATGCACCCCAGAGATCCTTGGGCAAATCTCTGTAAGTGGAGAAATCCTGTCTTTCCCCACTTCTGCAGACATGCTGTGGAGATTCTAGGGGTGTGTTTCTGTAAAAAGGGGAAAGCTGGGCATGTGCTTCTGGAGCTTGAGGGGCCTGATCCTACACTGGGTTCCCCAGTTATAGATTCATAGATGCTAGGGTCGGAAGGGACCTCAACAAATCATTGAGTCCAACCTCCTACTTAGGCAGGAAAGAGTGCTGGGGTCAGATGACCCCAGCCAGATGCCTATCCAGCCTTCTCTTAAAGATCCCCAAGGTAGGGGAGAGTACCACTTCCCTTGGAAGCCCATTCCAAATTTTGGCCACCCTTACCGTGAAGGTTTCATAGATTTCATAGATTTCATAGACATTAGGGCTGGAAGGGACCTTGGAAGATTGAGTCCAGCCCTCCGCCCAAAGGACAGGAAGTCAGCTGGGGTCATAGGATCCCAGCAAGATGAGCATCCAATTTACCCTTGAAGGTGTTCAATGTAGGTGCTTGAACCACTTCTGATGGCAGGCTGTTTCAGACCTTGGGGGCTCGGACAGTAAAGAAATTCTTCCTTATGTCCAGCCTGAAACGGTCTTGCAGTAGTATATGACTATTCGACCTTGTCATCCCTTGGGGCGCTCTGGTGAACAAACGCTCCCCCAGATACTGGTGGTCACCCCTGATAAACTTATAGGTGGCCATCAGGTCACCCCTGAGCCTGAGCTTTTCCAGGCTAAAGAGCCCTGTGACTCTCAGCCTGTCATCGTAAGGTCTGTTTTCCTGACCTCTGATTGTGCGCATGGCTCTTCTCTGGACTCTCTCAAGCTTCTCCACATCCTTTTTGAATTGTGGAGCCCAAAATCGGATGCAGTACTCCAGCTGCGG